TAAAGAACGTGAGATTCATCAATAACGGAGAACCGTGGTGTGGAGAAGCTGCAGTACCCTGGCTTGATGCCGTCTGAGATTATGTCGAAGACGTGGTCCTCGCCCAAGATGGCGGCCAGGTGCGGCATGACCATCTCGCCCAGTTGCGCACCCGATCGTGAATTGACGAAAGCGATGACGGTCATCTGGCGTTGATGCAGCAGGCCCTTTAGCTTGTCGATCTTGAGCTCGAGCTTGGCCGTTTTGTGTTCCTTCTTCGCTGCCTTCTTGGCTTGCTTGCCTTTCGGCTTTCTATGCTTGCCCTGGCTGCTGCTCATCGAAAGTGTGCTCTGCCGGCTGTGGAGCAAGTGCTTGTGCCCGCACCGGCTGCCATGAAGATCTGTCGTGCCCGAGGTCGTGGTAGGGCCTTCGACCGCTACCTCCTTCTCCTTGCCTTTGCTTTCGCAGAGCTCTGGAGAGGCGACGTCAACAATGCTGCTGTCGCTCGGGAGTGTTTGCATTTGTTCGATGTAGAATGTTCCGAATGCGGTGCTGAGGTGAATAGATGAGTCGTAGTGAAAGTGATGGCGGTGAGAGTATATCTATTCTCCTTCTTGCCGGTGGGTTTGTAGATTATGAACGTCCACTCGGGGCTCTCTGCAGATCTCCATCGCGTGCTTGTAGTTGAGTGGCATCTTTGGCGGAGAAGTTGAAGAAAAACGAAACACTTTCCCGCCACGTGGCGCCATCTCGGGTGAGCTCAAAGAAATAAAGATGGCATATTTAAAATATTTATCTCACAACCAGTTCGCACACCGCGTAAATGGAGAAATTCCACAAATGTGACTACTTTGGGGTCGATGAAGGTGATGGAGCTCCTGAGCCTCCTTGAACTCTTCGCAGAGCTTCCACCCACTGTGCCCGTAATCACCGCGAGGACACCAAGAGCGAGGTGGTGATGAGTACACAGGCTTTCCAAGAAGAAGGAAAGCAACACAACGAGATAGCCAGGTAGGGATGGAAGTGGACTGACCTGGTTCTTCTCAGCCTCGGTCTCGGTCGCCAAGAGCCAGTGCTCCTTGGACTCGTGGTTGCAGACGTCGAAGCACCACCGCTCTTTCTTCGTCTCTGGCGTCTCCAGCACCTGGCATTTCCGCACGTCCATCAACTTGCTCACTCGCTCCGACCCGGCGTTGGAATCGTAGAGGTAGAGGCTTGAGTCGGCGAGCACGGCGTGGTAGCGCTTCCACACCTTGCGTACGCTGCTCAGCGACTTGAGCGAGCCCGTGAACAGGTTCGACTTGTTGGCGCTCAACTCGCCCAGCGTGATCTGCTGCTGGCTCAGGGCCGCGGCCTCGTCATCGGTGACTCGTCGCAGCTGAGGCGCGGAAGACGGCACGCCGAGAGACTCGGAGGACTGAGAGGGTGGCGCCGGGAGGGGCTTGGACCTCGTGAACGGCCCGTCGCCACCGCCCTCCTCGGCCTGCGGCGGCGGAGGCAGCGGCTTGCTCATGGCCTTCGCGCGCTGCGTTGGCTTTGACTCTGATGGCGCTGAAGCCAAAGTCGTGCCACCGCCGCCGCTGTCAACAGCTTCGTCGCTTCCGCTCTGCAGCTTCAACCGAACGTCGAGGGCGCTGTTGGCTCGGCCGCCGATCATCAGCGACGGTCGACCCGTCGGGTTGGGCCGTGCACTCTTCACCAGGAACGAGCCGCCCGACCGTTCCCGCTGTCCGGCCGAGCTCGCCGTCGGCGCCACCTCACCGGCGGCGGGCGCATCCGCCGCTGGCTCACCATCTGAGCTCTGCTTCTCCTCGACGCCCGCTGACTCAGCCTCGACCCCTTCCAGCCGCGGGCCTTGGGCCTCGCCGTCGAGGTGCGACGTGTCCTCCGGCCGCGCCTCTGTCGCCGGTTGGTCTGGTCCTCGAGGTGTGACCGGCTCAGACGCGGACTCCTGAGTGCCGAGGTCGTCGGTATCCTGGTCCGACGAGTCGTCGTCGTCGCTCTCGCCCGTGATCTCCTTCTCCGGGACCAACGACTCGGCGTCGCCGCCGCTCGGTGGCTCAGCCTCCTGGTCAGCGCCTCCCTCCACGACGCTCGTCGTTTGGAGCGCCGCGCTCACCGTGTCGCGCTGCATCTCCTCCCGGAGGCTCATCGCCCGCTGCTGCGATCGCGCCGGGTGCGATGGCTGCGTAGCAAATGCAGAGAAGAGAAGGTGTAAGAAGGAGGACTAGTGGGCCGAGACTCGTCGGCGCGAGCGGCCAGGGGAGGTGAGCGGTACCGGCGGCGAGTTGAGTTCACGGGCAAATGTGGGGTCGTTGGCGACGAGCTCGTAGGCGCGCATGAGGGCGACGATCTCCTCGTGGCCCTCCTTGACCGCCAGGTCCACCGGCGATTCCCCGCGCCTGCCCACCACACACCGCAGATAAGTATAACCGGATGAGCACCATGCACCACGAACCCACAAGTCGTTGACGGAGATGAGGTTACTGGTTGCGCAGGGAAACGTTGGCCTTGTTCTCCAATAGGAGCTTGATCAATCGGAAGTAGGGTCGCGCACTGTGCGGACGAGCGAGAGAGAGCGAGAGAGTCAGCGGCGGCAGCTGAAGAAGAAGAAACAGTGCGCAGAGCCGCGTACGCTGCGAGATGGAGGGGAGTATCGCCGCCACGATTGGTGGCATTGATGTCGGCACCCAGGTCGATCGTCTTCTGCACCACCTCCAGCAGCCGGTCCTCGACGTCCTGGGCCTCCGCTGCGTATACACAGAAAGGAGCCGAGTCAGTAATAACAACACTAATGCTACAGAAAAATACAACATCATAGTATTATAATTACCGTGCGTGGCCCGGCCGCGCGGCGAGGAGCGGGTGAACCGGACGAGGTAGTGCAGGGGCGACGACCCGTTGGCCGTGGTGGTGTAGAGCGAGGCGCCGCGGTCGACGAGGTACTCGAACACGTCGATCTGCGAGTGGTGGGCCGCGGTGTGGAGCGGGCTCCAGCTCTGCTTGTCGGGCTTGTTGATGTCGGCCCGGTAGACCTCTACCAGCTCCTTGACCAGCCGCAGCTGGCCGTGCGCGGCGGCGACGTGCAGCAGGGTGTGGCCCGCCTGCGGCTCGCGGGACCGTACGAGGTCGCGGCTGGTGATGTCGTCTTCGCGCTCGACGCCCGGCGTCTCCTTGTCGGCGTCCTGCAGCAGCTTCAGCACGTCCTGCACCTGGTCCTCCCTGATGAGCTGGTGCATCCAGTTGAGCGTGGCCGTGAGCTTCGACGCCGTCTCGCGCTCTCTGCGGACCAGTTCCTGCTCGGGCGTCTCGCCCAGCACCTTGTCGCCCCGCGCGTGCTTGATGGCACTGATCCACGCGTGCCGGTCCTTCTCGTCGTCGGCACCGAAGAGATAGTGCTTGGAGGGCTGCGACCGGTAGATGTCGATGCAGTGCTCGCGGCCCTTGATCGCCCCGGTGACCGCGTAGATGCTGCAGTTGCTCAGCTGAATAGAGTCCACCACCTTCTCCTCAGCCTGCACCGCCATGTTAGGAATGAATGCGACGGGTGAAGCAGGCGGTAGCCTGTACCTGAGAGGAGCCGAAGATGTAGAGGACATCGCCGGCCAGGATCACGAAGCGGGAGCGCCACGTCTTGCGCATCTTGCCCTCCTGTCGCAGGAGGTAGCCCTCCTTCGCATTCTCACGCAGGTCCGCCACCAGAATCTTCGTCCCCCCCGAACAGCGTGAGACACGTGAGACACGTGAGGCCGAGGCGAGCAGAGACGCGTACCTTCTCGTCGTGGAACGTGACGCCCTGATCGAAGGCGACCGTGGCCCTCTTGGAAACGGGGAGGGAGTTACGCGGACGCATGGACTGCGTTCGCTGGGTCCTCCGCTTGTCTGCGAAGAAACGGAGGGGCGTGGATTCTCAGCCGCTCTGTCGCCGCCGGAAAGCGAGAGGAGCAACCCTGTCGAGGGGGGGAGGGGCGCAAGGTACGAACCGGCCGTGGTGACAGGGATGTTCGAGCCCGACACGGAGGGGAAACGTGTTCTTCTCTCTTGCACCTGGCCCGAGACCCAGTTGGCGGGCGCGGCGGGCTGGGCCTCGTCCGAGTCCGGGTCGGAGTCGTCGTTCAAGTCCTACAGCAGAGGCACTGGGTGGGTGAGTACTGGCAAGTGCTTGTGCGCCGGGAGGGGGGAACTCAGTGGTGAACGTGGGAACGTACCACTGAGGTGATGGGCGCGCCGGATACGGTCTTGATGGCGGCCAGCCAAGCCACGCGGTCTGGCTCGTCACGAGCCGACAGCAGATAATAACTGGATATGACAGCCGCGGCGAGCGTGCGTGACGTTGGGACGTTGGTCGTGTGGGTCATGCCATGTGCGAATGGGGAGTGAGCGTAGAGACAGGTGACTTGTCCCGGTGGCGTGCGTACCGCGTGCGGGCGTAGAGGCCCAGACAGAACTGGTGGCCCTTCTTCGGGCCTTGGATGGAGAAGATCTTGGCGCCGTCGAGCTGGATCGACCCCACGGGCACCGAGTCCATCTGTGAAGATTTAAGTTCGGGCCAAACAAACATAGCCACCACCGTTAGATACCGGCTCTTCATCTACCGCAGCAGCAGCAGCAGCAAGAAGGGCAAGAGCGTGCAGCGTACGTTGGCTTTCTTGAAGTAGTAGAGAGTTATCCCGCTGAGCACGAAATAGCGCGTCTTCCACGCCTTGCGGTTCTTGCCTCGCTTCTGGATCCAGCCCGCTCGTGCCGCGTCGGTGAGTCCACCCAGTGTGACCTTGCTCTACGGTAGGACAGGACTGCGGTCAGTACACACCACCAACCCACTAACCACCACTACCCCAACCTGCGCGATCGCCCCACGCACCTGCTTGCTAGCCTGCTCGGCATCGGCATCGCTGTCCTTGGCCATGGAGGGAGCCGCCAGGTCAGACCTCGAACGCGGACGACCCGTCGCCACCGCCGATGGGTTGGTCAGGTCGGCGCCGGCCGAGAGCAGCATGGTCTGACGCTTGGCCGCGGCAGTTGATGAGGCTGAGGCCGATGCGCCGGCGAGCAGGAAGTCGAGGTTCTTGGGGACGTCGGACGGCGGCGCGGCGGTTGTGGTCGACGAGGCGCCGCTGGGCTGGGTCACGAGCGTGGAGGCGCCCTCGAGCAGGGGCTGGTGGTTGAGGACCATGCTGAAGCTGGCCACCCACTCCTCCTTCTCTTTCTCGTCGTTGGCGGCGAGCAGGTAATGCCGCGGGATCGCCGTGTCGAACAGGTCGAACGAGTAGGGCCGGTTCTTCATCAGGTTGTTCTCCAGGTTGATGATGCCGCACGGACGCAGGTCGATCCACGCCACCAGTTTCTCTTGCGGCTGCAGAGCGGGAATTGTTAGAATTGTTGAAGAAGAGAACAACGGGCAGGCGACTGGGATTGAGGTGTAACGATCGCGTTGATGTGGTTGCGTGGGGACGACGTACGGAAGAAGAGTTGAAGTAGAGCAACTGGGTGTCCTTGAGGACGAAGTAGCGCCGCTTCCAGATGTTGCCCACCGACGACAGTTTAACCAGGTAGCCCGCTTGCACGCAACCCTTGCTCAGCTCGGCCAACCTCAAGTGCTGCACGTCGACGACCAAGACCACACAGGTGGTGAGGGTGAGTGCTTACATCAGGGACAGGCTGAGCATAGATGTATCTATGATGCAGTACCTTGTTCTTGGCGGACAGGGCATTGCGGAGGCGAAGCTTGACCAAGATAAAGGCCACGGTGTGCTGTGGTGCGACTGAGTGACTGTAGGCCGCAGCATACGAAAGCGAGGCGCGCAGCGAGGAGAACGGGATGGGGCTCGTACCGGTATGATCTGGTTCTTGAGCCTCTTGATAAGGATCGAGACATGGTAACGTCGCTTGAAGCGCGGGAATTTGTTGTAGAGCGGGTTGAGCGTGAACATATAGACGCCTGAGCAACATTTACGCACAAAGTGTTGGTTAGTTGATTGGTGACTTGAACAATTAATTACAGGCAAAGCAGGAGATCGAGTGTTCTGCGAGTGCGTACCGAGGCAGAGGAGCGCATAGCGGAAGCACAGCCAAAAGGAGACGAAGAGGAACAGAATGGTGGCGAAGATGAGAATGTACATGACCGCCTTGGACTTCTTCGGGTCCTTCCAATCCCACAGACTGTCGGTCACACCATACCAACGGAGCACATCGTCAGATCACATCAGCTCAGCAAGGCTGGGCCGTGGCTATAAAATAAATGAATAAACGTAATAATGGAAAAAAAATATGATTAACAATAACAATAATATGGAAAGGAGAAGCGTACGCTCGAATGGGTTCGATCCTATCGGCGATCTTGCCCGAGATGAGTTGCACCCTCCGCATCTTGGTGAAGATGCCGGCCTTCTTCTCCTTGACCTTGTTCCTCTCCTTCTCCTTGCCCTTCTCCTTGGTCGCCTTTTTCTGCTTTTCGGCCTTCCAGTCCTTCCACGCGTCCTTCGAGAGCTCGTCGTCCGCCTCCACGTCCTGCTCCAACCTAATTTATATAAAAAGGAAAGGAAAACACACCACCGCGGACAGGCTCAGTCCCTAGAGGGAGGGGGGCAAGCGTGTGTGAGAACACGTGCGTACCGTCGCTGGCGGTAGTGCTGCACATATTGGTGGATGAAATGCGCCGAGCCCAGCGCGAACGTGAGCGACGCAACGAAGTCGAACAGGCAACAGAACACGAACAACTGGAGCGCGTAGGCGCAGACAAGGCCAACGTGTGACGTGTGACGAGAGTGTTAGAAGAGAGAGAGAGAGAGAGAGAGAGTAGATGAGGCGAACTTGTTTGTCGTTGCAAAAAAAAAAACAACAAACAAACAAACAAACAAACAAACAAACAAACAAACAAACAAACAAACAAACAAACAAACAACAAACTAACAAACAAACAAAGTGATGGGTGGTGGATTGAGGCCGTACGAGGAGGGCCAGCATGGACGCCGCGGGGCGCTCCCATTTGAACAGATCGATGAGCTGCTTGATGATCCGGAACAGCGGGAACAGGGCGATGATCACGCGCATAATATTGTACTGGAGCATGCTGAGGCTCAGCTTCTGCGGCTTGGCGCTCTCCCGCACCGGCTCGGAGAAAATATTGATCAGATCGTCCACCTGCGACAGAGCAGAAAACAAGAAGCCATCAGCCAAGCATCACCGCACGGCGCTGCACAGAGGGGGGGGAGGTACGCGAGAGAAGGTGTAGGTGATCACGAGCCGGATCGCAGCGGTGGTTCCCTTTGTTTTGGTCACCAGCGGATACCTGGAAGCAGCGCACGACGAGCGAGAAAGGGGGGGACGGGTGGTGAGCTGAACGCCGGAGAGAGGTAGAGAGAAGAGCAGGTGGTACCAATGGTCGCGCGCTTGCATGAGCTCGAGGTCGGCCAGGGGCACGACCACCCGACCGAGTTCGTCCTCTCGCAAGACGCCCTTCTTGCCCGTCTCCTTTCGCTCCTTCACGACCACGACGAGGCCCTCGTCTTGCTCCGTACCGTCCACTCCACTAGTGGAACGGGCGCGATCGTCACGTGGTCAGCCCACGCCAGACTCAAGAAAAAGAAGAGGGAAGAGGGAAGAGGTAGTACAATTCAAGCGGGCAGTTCCATGTGGAGTCGAGCGTGGCCGGCGTCCGCTGCTCTTCGCCTTCGAAGAGCACGGAGCAAAAGAGCCCGAGCGGCGAGGAGGATTGCAGGCTCGATCCCGACGCACCGCCTGTACCCACCACAGCACCGCAGTGGCCGCGTGTTTGTGTTTTGTGGCCTCAGACGAGTCCTCCCCTCTGGCGCTCAAGGGCGGTCATGGCGTACTGGTGGATACTTGGCCGCTGCTGGCAGAGCTCACGCAACCATCCGTGAACGTGCGGTACTCGAAGCCCTTCACCTCCACGACTGCGACGGTGCAAAGCAACAGACGCCGAGTACACGAAGCCCCATTTGATTAATCAAATGAGAGCAGCTGGTATCAAAAAATAAATATTTATATAAAATTCTGTACATGTATAACTGATGGCATCTTCGTTTGGTGTAATGAACTATGGTCGCAATGGAAAGAAACTACAATCCAAAGGGAGGCTATCCAAACCATCAACTTTGAGGTCTCCAATACGAAGAAGGGCGGTATCAGGCGTTGCCGCCATCGTTGCGTGCCTGGCACTCGTTGTTCTTTCTATGCAGACGTGGCTCTTCTCCTTGCTTGAGTATGAACAACAATAAATGCGTCGACGCATGCGTTGTTGGCACAAAGAAAAGCAAAAGAAATGGTGAGAAATAAATAGTTTGGTTTTTTATGCGAGGTGTGGTAGATACAGTTGAAGGTGGTGATGCTATGTAACAATATGAGGTAGGTGGTGAGTGAGTAGGGGGTAGTGGGTGATGATCAAGGGTGAGTGTCTCGCTCGACCGGTCAATCGCTCCCGCTTCCTCATCATAGGGAGCGATTCCTCTCCTTGAATGCCTGGGGGACGGGGAGAGCGGAAGGCGCGGAGGCCGACATGGGGAGGGCCGCCGGCGAGCAGGGGTCGGGCGAGGACGGAATGTGCTCGGCCGAGGAGCCCGAAGACGACGAGATGACGACGACGACGACGACTGCGATGAGTTGGCAAAGCGGGCATTCACGACGTTGTTGAGCGTGTCCCGGAACACATCCAACACGAGAGGCTGCAAGAAAGAGAGAACAAGGCAACAAGTGATGTGAGCACTCTCTAGAGCATTGCATTGAAGAAGAAGAGACGAGAGCTGATAGTGAGGAGGAGGAGGAGGAGGCTGACCTTTTGGAGGCAAGACTCCATGCCCGACTTGAGACAGCGGGCGACATCGGTCGCAGAAGCGACGCCGGTCGTGGCGACGATTGCGCCCTTGTAGCCCTCCGATCTCAACATCTCCGATGCCTCCCATCCGTTCATGCGGGGCATGAAGCTGTGCGCACAGGCAAGAACAAGGTGAGGGACTGACTCGGGGCCGAAGGACCAATCATGGGCGAGGTCTGGTACCAGTCCATGAGGATGACATCAAAGGTCTTCTCCCTCGCCTTCTCGAGCGCCTCTATTCCGTCGTGCGCGTGCGAGATCTTGTTGCGCTTGAACCCAACGCTCTCCAGCATGCGGACCTAGAGAAGAGGAGCACCACCATTGGGGTCAGTGTCGGTGTTGAACAGAGGCCCGAGTGTGTGAGGAGGGGAGACTGTACCGCTACTTTGCGGTTGATGGCGTTGTCGTCGACCACGAGCGCGGTAAGGGCGGCCATTTTGAGATTGGCCGAGACCTTGGGCTTCGCAGAGGAGAAGGAGTACTTGGTGATGAGCTTGGACTTGAGCTTCGCCTTGCCGCCACCGCCTTCACTCTTCTTATCGGGCCTTCGTTCTTCCTTGGCCTCGACGAACACGTAGCGGTCGCGGGACGGCAGCTTCTCGGCCGAGTTGTCGCTGAAGGAGACCTTGTTGCGGCGCAGGACCGACCGAATGCCCGCCCGCTCGCGCTTGGGGTCGCTTTCGGAGGACTTCTTGTTCTTCTGCTGCCACTCCTTCCGCGCCCGCTCGAGCTCGTCCTGCTCGTTCTTCTGCAGGATGCGCCGCGAGAGGGTCTTCTCCGCCTTGCGATTGATCTCGTCGCGCAGGCGGGCTAGGATGTGCAGCAACACGACCGGCTGGACCGGCAGGGCAAAGTAGGCGTCCCACCCGTTCTCCTCGAGGCTCTTCGTATCGATCTGATCCGAGGTGTAGGCCAGCAGCAGCATCTTGACCTGTGGTGGTGGCACGAGCACGATGGTGAGTGCCGGTGAACTACGCAACACGAGGGAGGGGTGAGATAGGGTGCTACCTTCTCCAGGGCCTGTACCTTTTCCTCCTTGCGCACCCGCTTGGCGAGCTCCATGTAGCCCTCGCCGTGGCCCTTGAACACGGCCACGACGTCCCAGCGCTGCAGGTCCTTGCTGCTGCTGGACTTGCCGTAGAGGGTGGACCGACACAGCAGCCGCCGGGCCTCCTCCTCGTTCACGCTCTTGCACTTGGCGCCGAACGAAGAGAGCAGGTTCTCGGTGGTGGCGCCCAGCACGGGCGGAAGGCCCACGAGCAGGATCCGCATCGGTATGGTGGGCGATGTCGAGTCGCCGGACATGCGCAGAACCGGCAGTCGGTTGGGCGAGCCGGCGCCGAGCGAGATCGCCGACGGCGACGATGTGTCCATCTTCATCGGCAGACGGAGCGTGAAGGTCGAGCCAGAGAGGCGGGTGAAGGGCTCGTAGAGCGGCGACGGGGCAGGGGTAGAGAGAGTGAGTCGGATAGGAGGGCACGGCGTCGTCGGAGGACGTCAGCTTGAGCGAGGAGCGAAGTGTGGACAGGCTGCGCTGAATGGCCGACGACGTCGGGTCGATGCTCCTGCGGCGTCCGCGCCTGTTTGACGACTCGAGCTCCAGGCTTCCGCCCATCAGGGTGGTGATCTGTCGGGCTAGAGAGAGCACACCGAAAAACAAAAGAAGTGTCAGCTGACAAGTTTTCACCTGAACTAGAGAGAGAAGGGGAGAGTACCAATGGAAAGACCCAGGCCGGTGCCGCCAAAGCTCTCCGCCTCGCGGCTGTCCTCCTGCACGTAGGGCAGGAAAATCTTTTCCATGTCCTCCCGCTTTACGCCGAGACCGGTGTCAATCACGCGGAAGACGATCTCCCGCAGGTGGTCGGCTTCGGCTTCGTTGGCGTATTCGGCCGCGCTACGGCGCCGGACGCGGCCGTAGTCGACGTCGACCAGCACGTAGCCCTCCTTGGTGAACTTGACAGCATTGGAAACAAGGTTGGCCATGACTTGACGCAAGCGCAGCGGGTCGCCAAAGTAGAAGGGATGCTTCACGATGCCGGGCGCGATGTGGATGATGAGGTCCACGCCGAGGTCCCTCGCCTGCGAGGAGTAGGCCGACACGCAGTCGTGCACGACGGAGCAGATGTTGATGGGCGAGCTGGTGATCTTCAGCTTGGGGCTGGTCGACCCAGCCTCGTCGGCCAGGGACATCTTGGAGTAGTCGAGCACGTCGTTGATGAGCATGAGCAGGTGCTGCGACGATGCGTGCATCGTGTCCACGAGCTCCCTACACGTGAAGGCAGCATTATTAGCGTCAAAGATGACGGTATACGCTTGAGTTCGGAAACCAGGCGCACCTCTGGAGCGTGGTGAGCTCGTCATCGTCAGCTAGGAGGGACACCATCCCGATGAGCCCGTTCATCGGGGTTCGGATCTCGTGCTGCACGGGCGTGTTTGTTAGGCGCACTGCTGAAAGCGTCAAAGCGAAGCGTTCAAGCAAACGTACGCTCATATCGGCAACGAAGCGGCTCCTGCTCTTCTCCAGCTCCTTGGACTTCTGGAGCTGTTCCTTGACCTGCTGCAGCTCGTCTCGCTCATTCTGCAGCGCATCGCAACAGGCCGGGTGCTGCACCTGCAAATTGTTGAGGCACACCACACAGTCAGTTTGCGGTTGGAGCACCAAAAAAGTTTGGCGCCAAAACGCACCACTGTGAGAATGCCAACGGTCTCCTGGCCCAGCCTGAGCGGCTTGACGAGGTAGCTCGTTGCTGCGGCAGATGGCGAGGTGACCTCCACGTCGGTGCCGGTTCGCCAGGAGTGCTTGTGGGCCTTGAGCAGGCGCGCAAAGAGGCCGCGGCGGCCGTTCTTCTTCTTCTTCTTGCCCGTCTTGTCCTCGCCACCCACCGCCTGATGATTTGATGATGCACTTCCGCTTTCTGCCGCGAGGGTCTCCTCGATCGCATCAGCGGAAATCGTTCGGGTGCTCTCCTTCCTCTTCTTCGTGGATGAACGGGCCAGCTGGCCGAGCATGTCGCCAGATTCGAGGATCAGGCCATCCATTCCGAGCTGCGCCCCGCCGTCGGTTCGTGCCAGCTCCTCCATCTTCTCGTTGATGTAGACGAAGCGAAAGTCCTTGGCTCGACCTCGCCCCGTTGTAGATTGCTGCCGATCGCGCCCATGCTTCGTGCTACTCAGCACGGGCACGGCGAAGGCCACCCCGAATGGCAGAGCGTCGAGGATGGCCCTGTAGAAGCTGTGGTCCTCCATCAGCGTGTGCACGGCTCGAAGCTGAGACTTTGGCCGCTTCGCTTCTCTGCTCTCTTCTTCGTTTCTCCTTGTTGCTTTGATCTTCTCAATCCGTTTACTCGATGATCAGAGGGTTCTGCGCTTCTGACGTGCGCGTGGAGAGCGTTGCTTTTGATTCAGAGACTCGCCCGACCGGTTTCGTTAAGTCCTTCGCTGTGTTCTCCTTCCGCTTGAGGTTAGTTGGAGGGACGCGAGGTCGTGGTTCAACGTGCTCGTGCTCTTTCTTCTTCTCTTAGTTAACTTCGGCTCCACACTCTCTCTGTAGGTCACCCACTACGGCACCCTCTTCTTCGTCTTTTAGGTTCGTGCGTCGAATCAAAAGTGAAGGAGGAACGAGGCCAACAAGACCGAAGCAGCGCGTTGATGGCTGATGGGGAGTCGAGAAACAGCGGCGATGGAACAACTCGATGGCTCTTGGCTTGCCTAGGTTCGAGGAAGGTGGACTGAGATGCGTCGGGGCTGCAGCGGGTTGTGCTGGGGCGCCCGCCACCATCTGTCACGGGCGTTCTGCGGGCAGACCTTTTTTCTCTGGCGCTATTGGACGAGACGCGAAATTCGACGACAACTGTTTTCTGAATGGTGGCGAGTCTAGCAGTCTGTGGAACCTCCGCCACACCCAGCCCACAGACCAGGCAGATTGGGCCGTCACTGCGTTCAAGACAGATAGAGGATCGCGCGCAATGACGGCGATTTGGTAAAGGACCTCGCCGGCAGTGAGCCCTGCCCAGGTACGGGAACAACACGGCTGGCTCTGCCGTCCTTTTGCACTGCGCATTGCAAGGGGCAGCATGCGTGCCGACCATCAAACACGCTTTCAATCGATGCTGCACCATCGTGGACACGGCGCTATCGCTTGTTGTGGGCACGGATGCGATGGGAGGCCCTCCGCCATACCATTCCACGTCCCAACGTCACGGCCCACAGCTGACGGATGGGCATCAACAACCAGCAGACAGGGCTGTCACCTTCGCTAGTTAACGCAACGTGACTCGGTCGGCATGCCAGCTGGCACCACGCGATGCCTGTCGACCATCCACCTGATTCCAGGAGTTGACGGAGGCCATCCCGTTGCAAACGAGATAAGTCATCACGAAGTGGTGAGTGCGCAGGAGGTGAGCTCGAGTCGTTGAAGTAGAACAACGTAAAGGAAGAAAAAGAACAAGGAGTTTATACAACCAACACAACACGCCAAGTCTCTTTACAATTTCTAAATCACAATATAAGTGGTTGCGGAGAGAAGGAGTGGGAGACGTGCGGAGAGGGAGGAGCAGAGGAGAGAGGAAGGGGAGCAGAGTGTCATTTGAGTTGCAGTGCCTGAATGAGTCCGCGGCTGTTGGCTGCCAGGATGACGTTCTCCGTCTTCTGATAGCACACAGCGCTGATAAAATCGCCTTCGTTCTGTTGGTGTGGGTGACAAAGCGTCGTCAGCACTGGGCCGCTGGGAAAAGGGGTGAGGGAGAGAGAGAGAGAGAGGAAATGTACGGTGGCCGTCGATGGGGCCTCGTCGAAGGAATATTGGTAGAGCGGCGTCTTGAAGTCCTTGTGGTATGTGTACACTTGGTTGTTCTCGCTGCCGGTCGTGATCCATTCCCCACCGTGAACGCTCAGGCCCACAAACAGTCGCTTGTTTACATGACTGCAGACGAGGTCAGTTCAGGAGTCAAACAGGGGACCGCGGCCGACGGCGGAGCGCACCTTGAAAAGCTGAGCAAGGATTCGGCGGTGTTGACGTCCCACAGTCGCAACGTGCCATCAATGGAACTATAAGCCGAGGAGGGTGAGCGAAAAGTATCGACACCACAGCGGAGTGAATGGCGCGTACGCTGACACGAGCCGGCTCGAGTCCAGGAACTGTATGTGGGAGACGGCTTTGTCGTGGCCACGCAAGACAAACAAAGGCTCGCGCAGCGACCGAGCGTCGTAGTAATGAATCTGATGGTCTGTTGACGTAGTACGGGCGGTGAGTATCAAGTAAGATACAGTCACGAGGTGAATAGTCGTCTAAGCGGTGGACAGGGTCCGACGTACCTGCGGCGCCGAAGGCGAGGTAATGTGGCGACTCGGGATGAAACTTTACAGAGCACACATTGGCCTGCACCTCGATCGTCCCCGCAGACAGTCGCTGGTTCATCGACCAGAGCTTGACTGCAAGTCAGACGGAGACTTCTAATGTTAGCTGCTGAGAAGAAAGGGAGTTTCTAACGTAAGGGTGGGGCTTCGAACGATGTACGGACCTTTGGTGTCGTCGGACGCAGAGACTATTCGCGTCGGGTGTGTAGGCGCAAAGTGCACGCTCCACGCTCGCTTCTCGTGCTCGTGCCATTTACAAACCAGCTGTACCAGCAGGGCGAGCCGGAAACGTAGGAATGAGCTCCGGCAAAAAAGTGTAGAAGAAAGCGGTGAGGGGCAACTTTTGTTACCTGAGACGTGTTGAGATCCCAGACGGACACTCGGCCCGAGTACTCGCTTCCAGCCAGCTGAGACCGAATATAGCCGTTCCAGCTGACGCAACTGTACGCAGACAGACAGTTTCATGAGACCACGGTTTCTTTCGTTGGTGTCGATAACGTCTGGTAACGACGTACCTCAGTCGACTTAGTGTCGTCAGCTCGTGAACAGGAAAATGAGTTGTGCCGGCGCCCTCAACAACCGAGCGATAGTCGAACACCCGGATTCGCTTGTTGTAGCCCGCCACCGCAAAATGTTGCCCCTGCGACCACAAACCGCGTCAAGGAGTGGTCTGTGGTTAGTTGTGTCGCGGCGTTGAGTAGTGGTAAGTGGTGAGCTTACCTCTTTGTCGAATTCGATCGACGTCACCAGCGAAGCGTGGGCTCGGCCCTGCCCGCGGCCGGACCCCTCCCGCGCCGACCCGCGCGACGGGTCCTGTATGGCGGCGATGATCTCGTAGCCGTTGAACCGGACCAGCTTCTGGAGCTGCTTCCCGAAGGTGTCCAAGTCCACCACTGCTCCTCCTCCCCCTGTCGTTGGCGTTGTCGTTGCCGCGTCGTTCTTGTATTCCGCTGCAACGGCCTCCGTTCCCGGCCGTCCCGTTACGTCTCTTCTCTCTTTCCCCTTGGCGTCGTGCTCTCCGCTCGTCACGGCCCGGGCCAAACGCTGCTGCTTCTTGGCCTTAAGCATGCGGAAGTAGGTCTGCTGTAGTTCGTCCATGTGTTCCACTATCCTCCTCTTTTTGTTCACCAGTTGGTCCCTCTCTTCGTGTGGCCGATTCCTGTGCGTCGGGCCAGAGGGTCAGCAAAACACAAACCAAATTTGGAGTCCAGGATTCATTACGCAGCGTGCCACACCAGCAATCGCACGTGCGATTGTGAGCGAGGCCACACGTGTTCGTGAACAGAGTGTGTGGGGACGTACATCGAATCGCATGGTGCCGCCATGGTGCCGTAGCCCCTTTTCTCGCCCACCGAGGGCGAGCGTTCCCGTCCACCAATGCAGGATGGAGTGAACCCGTAGGCATCGGGGTCCTGTGACGCAACGAAGAGCACCTTCTGGCGTTCCAACTGCTTGATGTGCTCTTCCAGCATGTCGTAGCTCCCGTTCAAGTTGGACTGCACCGCCCGGCCAAATGCACGCGTTAGACTCACGCAAACCACGGCTGACGTATCAGGCGCGCACAAAGTCGCGAGTCCGCGTACGCTCTTGTGTTGCTGTTTCGTCCGATAGAGAAAGTCGAGAAGGAGCTCCAGCTCTTCGTGCTTCGTCTCCGATTCCATGCTTCGCTTCTGCGCGAGCAACAGGCCCAGCAGCTTGTTGACATCTGTGGCAGCGTCAGCCAAGAGAAGAGTAGTAACGGAGAACGTGTGCCGAGCTAGCAACGCAAAGATTGAGCGTACCTGCGAGTGCGAGGCTCTGCGAAGTGAGGACGTTCTCGAGCTGTGCGAGGGGAGGCAGCGTGACACCGATCGAATTGGTCTTGACCTTTTCGAGGACCGCATTCACTGAGGAGGAGAAAACATCAAGAGTGAACAACGTTGCATGAACATGAAAAGATGCAGGAGAGAAGCAGAGTTGGCCAGCTGGCTAGGGAGGTAGGGGCATTGTACGAGCGTAGTTGGGAAAGAGCTGGTCTCGTCGGAGAGGTGTCTTGCACGTGGGGCACATGGAACTCACGCCCAAGTGCCGGGCTATACACACGTAACTACGGCGCCAACAACAACGAATGTGGAAATCGATTGGTAATAAATAATAATTATAAATATGATAATAATTACAAAGCAAATTGAGGGTGGGTACCAGTAGCTATGGCCACACGCGGTCATGAAGGCCTCGCTTATGGCCTCCAGGCAGATGGGACTAATGAAAGAGAAGGAAGGCGAAATCAGATTGGATGGAAATTTCTGATCTCCATCAACCAGACAAGGAATTTCAGAGCTGTTGCAGGGGATGCAGAGATGGAATTTACCAACAAATGTCCTCCATTCGACAGCCGATGTGTTACTCCTCAACCAGCGCGTGCCTCCAGGGCAGTCGAAGCAGCGACAGCCTATAGAGCTCCAGAGTTGCGGAGTAGGGAGGGTTGCAGAGAGGAAGAGTCGAAGTGGGTGGGCGTCGCCAGCGTCGCCAGGCCGTTGTACAGAGACGAGATCGATCGTGTATCCAAGAGAATTGCAAATGCTCTTGCAGATAGCCGAAAAAGAAATAGCGTGCGGGAAACAGACCACAACCCTTCGGGCACCTTCCGCAGCGGCGACGTTCGCCGCTCGCTGGCCTCTCCCCTCACCCCAACACCCACGGACTGCACGGTGTGCTACTGACTCACTCTTACTGCCGCGACCTGATGTTGGGACGTCCCTTTTGTGTCGGCAAACTCTCTATCTACCGCGAATGGGAAGATATTATAGTGGATCTGCTCATCCCATTGGCCTTTTGGAAGAGAAAAAAATCTTCCGTTAAAGGAAAATGCAAAGAAATAAAAAATATCCAAAAACAATAAACAGCCTGTTGGAATTTGCAGACAGATGCAGCGGTGTGGTGGGCTGGCCAGGTACCCCCTGCTGCGGGGCGTGCCAGGAAGTGGCAGTTTGCCATCTGCCATGCTCGTGGGTCCGCGATTTACCAACTCAATTATTGGATCACATCTGCACTTCATCCCGCGATTGAGCTTCACCACAAGAGGCCGACCCCGAAAATCGGTGGAAGAGGTGGCGACGCCCAAGGAGCCAAAGGAGCAAAGGTACGCAGAAGCACACCTGTTTTTTTAAAGATTTAATCTAATACTGGCTGTACAGAACAAACACAACGTAGCGGGCACGTCTGATCCTGGCCCGAAGGTGAAGAGTGGTGCCAAAGCGAAGAAAGTGGCGGAGGGGCAGACGACAGAGAAGAAAACAAAGAAGGAAGCACCGGCGACCGAGGCGAAGGAGACAGTGCCCAAAGCCAAGAAGGCGAGGGCCGAGAAAGCGGCGAAGCCAACTGCGAAGCTGCCAAAGACGACGTTGGAGGCGGTGAAGACGGCGAAGAAAGCCGCGACCCAGAGAGCGGAAGTGGAGGCGCCGGACGAACTGCTGAACAAAGCGGAGGCGAAAGCACCCGAGAAGAGACCGAAGAAGGGGAAGGTCGAGCTGACTACCCAAGTGGCAACGGCAACGGGAGGGGCAGCAGAGCGCACGGAAGCCGTGAAAGAGGAGAAGCCGGCTCGAGTTGTGGAGGCGAAACGCGGAGAGACCACCAAAGAAGACGCGGAAGCCGCGTTGCCTAAATGGGAGCACCTGACGCAGGCCCAGCTGAAGGAAGAGTGCAAGAAGCGACGGCTGAAGGTGACGGGGAGCAAGCAACAGTTGGTGGAGCGCCTCCAGGAAGCTACTCGACCCCCACCCGCCGCCGCCGTCGAGCCACAGCCTCAGGGACCGGTCATCCGCATTATCGTGGCCGAGAAGAAGTGTAAGCGCGCTCTACTCTCTCTCTTACTCTCTCTCCTCTCTGTGGTGTGTGGTGTGTGGCGTGTGGCGTGTGGCGTGTGGCGTGTGGCGTGTGGCGCGATCCTGGCACGCAGGTCTAACTCATCTGCGCAACTACAGCGGCCGCGGAGAACATCGCCCGAGCGTTAGGGATCAAGAAGTTCAAGAAAGAAGGTTGGTTTCCAGTGCTTCTGTGGTCTGAGTCTGCTGCTGACCTGTCGTGGTGTTGTATACTATTAGGGGCCAAGGAACCAGGATTTATCGGCAATGTAGAGCTCACACCGAATGGAGTCCAGGTCGTGCCCGATGAAAGCGGCAGTGGTACTGGCAGTGGGCCGCTTGAATGCTTGGTGGGCCAATCAGTCAGCTCCTAACCCGCACGCACGCACACCGCTATCTTGCTTCTGGCCAGGCGGGGCGACGGTCGTGACGTGGGCATCGGGCCATCTGTTCGAGCTGCAGAAATACGCCATGTGGAAACTGGACAAGCTGCCCATGCTGCCCTCCGAATGGACGTTTTCATGCAAGGTACGCGGTGAGCGATTGACTGGCTGAACCAGGCCCATGCCCTCCGAGCTCTCGGGCCTCTGCTGACCGCTAAGCTCACCGCCTCACAATAGGGGCCAGCGCAAAAGAGGCAGTTCGAAGTGATCCGCAGGCTCTTCGAGTCGGCCGACGGTATGGCTTACGAAGTCCTCCAGTGGTAGCTCATGCGCTTGCCTAAGCCTTTCACCGTCGGCGCGTTACAGAGATCGTCAATGCATGCGATGCGGGGCGAGAGGGCGAGCTCATCTTCAGGGAGATCTTTGAACAGGCCAAGCCCAAAGCGCCGTTCAAGCGACTCTGGATCTCGTCGCTCACCGACGAGGCCATCAAAGAAGGGTACTACTCCCTTCTCCGCCCTTTGCTTTTGCCTTTCGTTTCTCTGCACCACCTGACGGGGCCGCAGTTTTCGAAAGCTCCAGGCCGGCACTGAGTATGATTCCCTCTATCACTCGGCCCTGGCGAGGACCAAGGCCGATTGGTACAATTCCCCCCCACTCAAATATAGGGAGTTCGTTTGTTGGTTCGTTGCTATGAGCGGCCAGCTCGCGCTCACTCTCGCGGTCGCCTGCAGGCTGATCGGAATGAACGCCACGCAAGTCTACACGCTGAGCTACCGCCCCAAGGTGCCCTCCTTCCAGGGCAAGGTACGGCGCTTACCCCCCATTATCAGGCCTCGACCTCCGTGCTCACAAGGCACATCGGTTGTGTCGTGCATGGCGCGTGTGCGTCTAGGAGGCCGTGTCCCTCGGTCGGGTGCAAACGCCTGTGCTCAAAATGATCGTGGATCGCTGGAAAGCAGCCCACAATTTCAAGCCGGTACGTCGCTTACCTCACACCTCGTGGCATTGCACCGAAGAACAGGGCTCACAGGGCCATGCGCCGCGGTTGCAGGAGCCGTACTGGGAGCTCCACCTCCGCTGTCGGCCTCAGGGAAGCGACGAGCACCTGCGACTCAAGTACTTCTCGCCCGAGGCAGCGAGCGAGCGCATCGCCTCGGAACAGGAGGCCGAGGACGTGCGACACGCGCTGGGACCCGTGTGCACCGTGCAGCAGCTCACCCACAAACGCCGAATCGAGAAGCCGCCCAAGCTGTTTGACCTCACCGCCCTTCAAAGGTAATTCTTCCATCTCATCCCTTTTACTTTCGTAGCTCCAGCTCTGGGTCTGAGTCGTTCGCCTGTCACTGCCCGAACAGAGAGGCCAATCGACGATACGGCTATACGGCCGAGCGGACACTGGGCGCGCTCCAGGGACTGTACGAACATCACAAGCTCATCTCCTATCCGCGAACAGACTCGCGCTACTTGACCAAGGACATCTTCAACGACGTCAACACCATCCTTGAGTACGCGCTTGCCCATACCGCATACCTGGGTTCCTTCGTGCCGTCCATTAGCTAAACCTTGCCATCGTTGGCCTGCGCAGTGGCATCGGCAAGCACTCGATGTATGCTCCCGCGATCGAGGACGTGCGCAACAGCAAGAGGCTCAGCCTGTCCAACAAAGGTCTGTAAGCAACCGCGTCCACTACGCACTGTGGTCGTGAGTTGTCATCGAGCTGGATCGCCTGACGCTTCTCTTTGTTATTGGCTGGCAGCGGTCTTTGACGCGGGCAAGGTGTCCGACCACCATGCGATCATCCCCACGACCAACATTCCCTCGGAAAAGACTCTGGCCCACCTCTCCCCCGACGAACGAAAGCTGTACCACCTGATCGTGTCCCGTCTCCTCTGTACGCATCTCCTTCTCCCATCTCGGCCATGCAAGAGAGAGGGCCTCACCTTCGCCTTCTTCATCGTGTGTGTGTAGCGTGCTTCATGCCCGACTGCGAGAAGCAGCACACGGAACTAGTGGCGGTCAACAAATCGAAGCACTTCCGCGGGAGGGGCGTCGAGCTCGTCAAGCCCGGCTGGCGCTCGGTCTACTCGCTCTCGCCGTTCGCCGCACCGCAAGACGGCTCCTCCGTCGACGAGAAGGAGGTCGACGATCAATCCACCACCGGCGATGGTGGCGACTCCATCGGCGATGGTGACGAGGAGGAAGCGACGACTGATGATGGGAACCTGTGCTCCATCGCCAGCAAACTTAAGGAGAACGACACGCTCGCCTGCGTCCTGCCGGCCGAGGTGAAGTGCGAGCATACGCGGCCGCCGCCGCTCCTCAACGAGGCCTCGCTCCTCTTCCTCATGGAGACGGCCGCCAAGTATGTCGCCAAGAAAGGAGGTTTGACCTGCATCCCCAGCCCACATTCCGACCACATCGCACCTCAAACGTGTGTGTGTGTGTGTGTGTGTGTGTGTGTGTGTGTGTGTGTGTGTGTGTGTGTTTTGTCGCATTTACAGCTTATGATGCGGAGAACGAGGCTGATGACGGAGCCGAGGAGTCGCTGAAGGAGTTCGGATTGGGCACGCCGGCGACGCGGGCGCAGACCATCGAGCGATTGATCGCCGTCAAGTATGTGCGGCGAGAGGGCAAGAAGCTGGTCCCCACCGAGAAGGGCAAGATCCTCATCGAACTCCTCCAGAAGACCCACTCCTCCCTCACCTCGCCTCAGATGACCGGCCAGGTGCCTTGATCACTCCACCACGAGCTCCCATCCACCACCGCCGCCGCGTCGCTGTGTGCCTGACTCTCCTTTGTCGCCGGTGTAGTGGGAGAAGCGGCTGCAGGACATCGCCAAGGGCGAAGGCAGTCACGAGGCCTTCGTCGAGGACATCAAGCGCTTCACGGAGCAGGTGGTCGACGAGGCCAAGGTGGGCGCCACCCGGCTGCCCGACTTCCGCAAGATGATGCGAACGATCAACCAACAAGAGGAGGGCACACCGCAGACCTCCGAAGCCGCTGGCGCAGAGGTGCGCACTGAATCCCTTCAGTCACAGTGATCGTGACCACCGCCAATTAATGCTGACGTGTCGCGGTGTATGTAGGCCGCCACCCAGGCGCGAGGGGGGTGGGAGGAGGAAGAGGAGGAGGTCCTGGGCGATTGCTGGAAGTGCGGCAAGGGCCACGTTGTCTCGCGGGCTCGATCAAACCGCTGGACCTGCTCCACCGAAAGCTGCGACTTCATCATCTGGAAGACCACCGCCAGCCGCGAGATGCAACGGGTACCTCACCCCGTCACCTCCTTGCTCTCACCTTTCCGCTCACTGCGTGCTCTCCACTGACACCACACATTCCAGGAAGAGCTGAAGGAGCTGCTGACCGAGGGCGTGACGCCGTTCCTGTCGGGCTTCAAGTCGCGGGCGGGCAAGCCCTTCGAGGCCCGGCTGGCCATCAACCAGGACGGCAAGGTGGTGATGATGTTCCCCTTCACCGTACGCCGAAGCGCCGGCGGCGGCAGCGGCGGCGGCCACAGCCGTGGTGGACTTTCCCGACGACTGCCGGGCATCACCGAGAGCTCTGAAACCGACGAGTAAGAAAGGAAGCTTCCCCCCGACGTGAGTGGGTGAGCTCCTTTCTTGCCCCCTGGCTTGGGTTCGCGGTTGGGCCAACTCAGGAGCAATCTGGGCCGTTGCAAGCTTTTATTATGGAGCCAAGCCTTGCAACGGCCTCGAGGTGAAACATTCCAAAATAGCATTTGACGTGTGACGCCGTCATGCTCGTTAACCAACCGTAAACCTGCGTACAGAAAACAGACCAATCATTGCCGTTGCATAGCTCAGATTCCCCACGAGTGATGTCATCCCGATCGGGATTGGATGTCCAAGAACGCCAGATCAAGTTTTGACCCCGTTATTGGACGCCATGGTAGCTTTGCATTGGTCGTCACTGCAGCACGAGCGCTCTGGTTTTAGTTTGGGGCACAACGACGAAAAGAACGAAGCGAGCCGGACAGCGACAGACACCAAAAAGAACGAAGAAGACGTTGGCGAGCTGGAAGTGCGCACAGATGGATCACCGCTGGCTTCTGCGGCTGGCGCTCCTCACCGCCCTGCTAGTCCTGGGGCCACCAACAACACTCAGGGGAGGGACCACCCATCTTTCAGGGTGGGCGGGGGTCGATGCGCTCAACGTCACCCTGCTTCACTCGGGCGATGGCTACGGATCGGTGGTGCCGATGGACGCGGGCAACGCCCCCTGCCGACCCCTCAGCCAGGCGCCCTACTATTCTCCCACGAAGGGCTCGGTGTGCTACGGCGGCCTGGCCCGCAGGAGCGGCGTGGTTGCGGCCGTGCGGGGCGAGGTGGAGGCCTCGGGAGGGTCGGTGGCGCTGGTCGACGCTGGCAACGCGCTTCTGGGCTCCCTGTACTACGCCACCTTCGGGTCCGAGGTGATCGCGAGCTACTACAATCTGATGCGGTACGACGCGGTCAAACTCGAGGTGCACGACTTCACCTCGGGCCTGGGCCAAGTGGCCAACTTCACACGACTGCTGACCACCGGCGGCAACGCCACCGCCACTGTGGTGTCGTCCAACCTGGTCCACCTCAACAACGACTCGCGCTTCGTGGCCCAGGCCGACGGGGCGCAGGTGGTTCCCTACGCGCTGGTCAAGCTGGGCGGCAGCGGCGAGGTGCTGGGGTTCATCGGCACGATGGCCCAGGGCCTGAGCACCATGTTCGCCAACCCGCGCGCCATCAACTCGACGCCTGAGCTTGTGGCCATGCGCACCGCCGTCGGGCTCCTGCAGAACCTGGGCGTCAACAAAATCGTGGCGTCGGTCAGCGGCGCCAGCGTGGCCGACTCCATTATCGACGAGGTGCCCGGCATCGACGTTCTCATCGTCCTATCCCAGCTCTACGGTGGCCCAAACACCACCAACACCACCACCTCGGCTGGTCCCTACCCGACGATGCGGGTGATGCCCTGGGGGCAGCCGGTGCTGATCGTGGGCACGGGCGTGAACAGCGGCCAGTACCTGGGGCGCCTGGACCTGGACTTCGACGACCACGGCGTGATCAGGTCGTGGCGCGGGGCACCGATCCGGCTCGACGACGGATCGCCCTCGATGCGGTGATGCAAGCCGACATCGTGCGACGCCAGGCCGAGGTCGATCAGTTGGCACAGCGGCCGCTCGGCTCGAGCCTGGTCGATCTGGCCTACGAGCACCGCTGCATGTTTGGCGAGTGCACGATCGGGTCGTGGTCGGTCGACGTGCTGCGCGCGGAGGGCCGGACCCAGGTGGCTTTCGTCAACGGCGGCACCATGTACGGCGGGATACCGGCGGGCAACATCACCTACGGCCAGCTCCAGACCGCGCTCCCGCTGCAGAACGGCGAGCTGCAGACCTACCGCCTGGCCGGGCGGTACCTGTGGGCGGCGCTCGAGAACTCGTTCAAGCTGGTGACCGACACGGAGCTCAACCTAAGCCAAGGCGTGGGCCGCTTCCTGCAGGTCTCGGGCCTGCGCGTGCTCTACAACCCGCGCGAGGCCGTGGGCTGGCGCGTGGTCGACGTCACCATTGAGACCGCGCCCGGCGTGTGGACCCGGCTCGAGCCCGACCAGCTCTACACCATCACCTCGTTCCGCTGGGTGTCGGTCCTGGGCGGCGATGAGTACACCATGATCCGCGACAACCTGCACGACCTGCGCCCGATCGGCATCACCGGCGCCATGGCCTATCTGACCGCGCTCACCAGAGGCCCGATCACGAGCGTCTCCATGGGCCGGCTCAACACCACCTCGCTCACCACCCGATCGTGCTACGACGCCGACAGCGGCTTCCTATGCAACGGCAACGGCGTGTGCGTGCTGGGCCGGTGCCAGTGCGTCGTGGGCGCGGCGGAGGAGCTGTGCGCCTGGAGGAACTCCAGCGACGACGCGCTATCAGCAGGAGCAATTGTCGGCATAGTGATCGGGTCGGCCGTTGTGGCCGCCTGCGTGCTGGTATCGGCCGTGTTCATCACCGCCGTGCTGGCCTCGCGCAACCGGAAGCGACCGGCCGACCAGGAGTGGCTCATCGACTTTAACGAGCTCGAGATCGGCGACCTGCTGGGCCGCGGCGGCTACGGCGAGGTCTACCGGGGCAAGTGGAAGGGCACCGGTGTCGCTGTGAAGACCATCAGCGCCGAGCGCATCACGCGGGAGATGAAGGCCAGCTTCATCAAGGAGACTTCGATCATGAGCCGCCTGCGACACCCTAACTGCGTCCTGTTCATGGCGGCCTCGACTAAGCCGCCACTGCTGTGCATCGTGATGGAGTACATGGCCCTGGGCAGCCTCTACGACGTAACCACCCCTTTACTTTCTGTTTTAGCTCCGATTTGCGATGCAACTAATTTTTTGTTTTTATGTCCGATGTCTGCACCAGTTGCTGCACAATGAGCTCGTCAACGAAATACCGTTCGTGCTGCGCCTCAAGCTCATGTACCAGGCGGCCAAGGGCATGCACTTCCTCCACTCCTCAGGTAAGTCTCAACTCTCTCTCTCTCTCTCATCTTGTTCACGCGCTAACGACACACGCGACATGACACGACACACGACACACGACACACGACACACGCGACACACAGGGATTGTGCATAGGGACCTGAAGTCGCTCAATCTGCTGCTCGACCACAAGTGGAACGTCAAGGTGGCCGACTTTGGTCTCACGGTCTTCCGTGACTCGGTCAAGCGCAAGGGTGACGGCGACCGCAGCGTCGTGGGCAGCGTGCCGTGGATGGCGCCCGAGCTCCTGCAGCGCGACACTGATCATCGGAACCCACAGGCCCCGATCGAATTTGTGCAGCTGGTCGACGTGTACAGCTTCGGCATCATCCTGTGGGAGGTGCTGACCCGCAAGCGGCCCTACGAGGGCCTCAGCCCTTCGCAGGTCGCCGTGGCTGTAATCCGGTCCGACCTGCGCCCCACGCTGCCAGCCGGCGTGTTGGGCCTGGCCGACCACGAACGCCAGTACCTCAACCTCATGTCGGCCTGCTGGCACCGCGACCCCAGCGTGCGGCCCGCGTTCCACCGCATCATGGACACCCTCGTCAAGATCAACAACGCGGCCGGCGGCAACAGCAGCAGCGGCAGTGGCTTCGTCTTCTCGTCGAGCAGCGGCAGCAACAGCAGCGGCGGCGGAAAAGCCGACAACGGCGAGGCGGCGGGTCGAGCGAGAGGGCCGTCAGACAGCATGAGCCTGATGAGCGGCCCCGACCTCTCGTCATCCCGCGACAGTAACGGCTCCTACGGCAACTGCGATGATGGCGGCAGTGGCGGTGACGGCGAGGGCGAAGAGCGCGGGCTCGTGCATGTGCCTGCGACAAAGGCCGACCGGGTGCCGCGGCGCGACGTGTCGTTCGTCGTGTGCGATCTGGCCCGATTCGACCGCGTGTGGCAGCGCAACCCGGCCGCGGCCGACATGGCCATCCGCCGGTTCGGCGGGCTCGTGCGGCACC